TATAGGTACAGTGAGAGCAACATGATCAATTACTTTCCAAATTACTGATCTGCACTTACTATAGGCAAAGGTAAATTGCTAAAGTTTTGGCTAAAGTTATATATATTGAAAGTAAATGATTTTGTACATGATCAGTGTATTTTAACGGGTTGTAGCTTGTTACTTTTTTTTTTTCCAGATTACCAATCCAAACTTAGTATAGGCAATGAGATGTAGTTAGCTCTTAAAGCTTAACTAACTGGTAGTGTAATAAAAAGTTTTCCTTGTTGGTTATAAAACGTAAAACCTATAAAAGTTTTAGTGGGATGCAAAGAATTTAAAGAAATGTTACGGATTTTGCAGGTTCCTGGAGCATTATGTGTTTTGCAAGAAGCTGGTGAGACTGAAGTAGTTCTTCAGATTGGGGAGAGCTTGCTGAAAGAGAGGTTGCCTAAGTCGTTCAAGCAAGATGTGGTCTTAGCTATGTCACTCGCATATGTTGACCTTTCGCGGGATGCCATGTCCCTTTCACCTCCTGATTTTGTTAAAGGTTGTGAACTGCTTGAGAGAGCGCTTAAGCTATTGCAGGTATAGTAACTTCTGATGATATGACTCACTTAAAGTGAATGTGGTGTATATCTGAAATTCTATACAAAAGGGAAAGAACATGGCAATGGCTCATTTCTATAGTTTATGCTCTATAGCTCCAGTTTTACAGCTGCAAAATGCTCTCACAAACGACTTTAGTGGTGGAGGAGGGTTTATATTGCTGTATTAATTTCTGACTCTTCATTCTGATTTACCTAAGAATGAATGTTCTGCTTGGTCATCCATCATTCAATAGTCTGAGATATTAGTCATAGGCAAGGACTTCAGATTACATCTCTTGTTTGTTTTGTAATTTGCGTGGGTACGCATGAATGCTTTTTCTTTCCCTCTTGTCTTCTTTAATGCACTCTTTTTTTTTTTTTTTGTGTGGTGGTTGGTTTTTTTTTAGGGGGGGGGGGGGGTTGGGGGGGTATGCTAAGCTTATAGTGAAGAGCAAATAATGAGGAACTTTCTGCCCTTCATTTGCCAGGAAGAAGGTGCAAGTAATCTTGCCCCTGATCTGCAAGCCCAGATAGATGAGACATTGGAAGAGATAAATCCGCGCTACGCACTTGAACTTCTAGCTTTTCCTCTTGGTGATGAACACCGAATGAAAAGAGCAGAGGGTCTTCAAGTTGTGCGCAATATTTTGTGGGCTGTTGGAGGAGGTGGAGCAGCTGCAATCTCTGGGGGGTTCACGCGAGAAGATTTCATGAACGAGGCCTTCCTACGAATGACAGCTCCTGAGCAGGTTGGCTTATCTATGTTTTGTATATTGTAGTTTCTTTGTAACTGTTTTTTACACTCTTCTTCATTTTCCTCTTCCTTTTTAAAAGGTGGACCTTTTCGTTGCAACGCCAAGTAACATTCCTGCAGAAAGCTTTGAAGTTTATGGAGTGGCACTTGCACTTGTTGCTCAAGCTTTTGTTGGGAAAAAACCTCATCTCATCCAAGATGCTGATAACCTTTTTCAGCAACTTCAGCAGACAAAAGTAACAGCTTACGGCAGCTCTGTGTCTGTCTACACTGTTAGAGAAAACCGTGAAATAGACTTTGCTTTGGAGAGGGGCCTTTGTTCACTTCTTGTTGGAGAAGTCGATGAATGTCGCTCATGGTTGGGCCTAGACAGTGAGGATTCACCCTATAGAGATCCATCTATTGTGACTTTTGTTGCAGAACACTCAAAGGATGACAATGAAAACGATCTGCTCCCTGGATTATGTAAGCTTCTGGAGACCTGGTTGATGGAAGTGGTCTTTCCCAGATTTAGAGAGACACAAGATATCATTTTCAAGCTTGGAGACTATTATGATGACCCTACTGTTTTAAGATATTTAGAAAGGCTGGAAGGCGGTGGTGCGTCACCTTTAGCTGCTGCGGCAGCTATTGCAAGGATTGGAGCTGAAGCTACAGCTGTGCTAGATAGTGTTAAGGCTAGTGCTATTCAGGCATTACAGAAAGTTTTTCCTGCTGGTGATGGGGAAGGCAGTGTAAGACGATATGGCGACAATGAGATGAACGAATTTGATATCGCTAAGCCATTTGTGGATCCTGTAGAGCTTCGTGATCAAAATAATTTTATCACGTCAGTTGAGGATCCTGAGAGAATTCCTTCTGGTTATCAGGAGCAAGATGCGATAACCGACAAAATAAAAGATGCAACCGTGAAGATTATGTGTGCTGGAGTGGCAGTTGGATTCTTGACTTTGGTTGGATTGAAGCTTTCTTCCTTCAAACATGGGTCTTCTGTTCGACTTAAGGGTACTGGTTCAGCTATTGCCTCGGATGTCATCAATGTGGGTATGACTCACTGATCACTTTTGGTTCTTAGTAACTCTCATAGTTGGCAAAATATGACCCATGGTGCCATTCTCTTTTTATTTTCTCTGCTGCTACATTTAGCAGCTTGGTCTCGAGAGGAAATATCTTCTTTATAATATGTTATAAGTGGTTGCTGTAAAGCTCTCTTATAAAGATATAAAAGCTATCTTCTTCTATTAGTATTATAAATTCTTAATGCTGGACTTCTTTTCACTTTTTGAGTAAGGGGCTAAGCACTCCTGCTTTCTTCCTCCAACTTTCCCTTTCTTTTGGATATCAGAAATTTTACCTGTTACTGCAGGTGCCACACTAGTTGAAAATCCTCTTGAGGTTCCTAGAATGGATGCAAGGCTTGCAGAAAGTATGGTTAGGATGTGGCAGAATATCAAATCCCAGTCTCTTGGACCTGATCATTGTCTCAACAAATTGTCAGAGGTAATGAATATATAATGCCTTTCTTTTATAGTGTTGATTCATGTTTTGCTAGAATGACATGCAAGGACAACGAAACCTGAAAGCCAATAGGCCTTCCTGACAGTAGACACACTCCACTAGATGCGGCTGCCTGAAAAGCCTAGTTTGCCACTTCGCGTTAATCAAACCTTACCGCATTTCTTTCCGTCCGGCTTAGGCTTCATTAGCAAATAATTGAACAGATTCCTCACTTAGAACCTCAGCCAGGAGGAGTGCAGAAATCTGTGACATTGTTTATAATAGTTGCCGCTACCTAAGTGACTCAGTCACCAGCTATGGCATCGCATGAGAGATGAGGAAGACTGCAAATTATCGTATAACATGAATAGGGACACCAATTAGTACAATTCTTGTGTCACCCATAGTCTTCCCACAATTATGTTTATGAAGAGCCCATTCAGAAAAGAAAAAATTATGTTTATGAACAACCAAATAGAACATATAAAAACCCATACAAAATGGAGACTAAGAAAGACCTTTGGAGATTAAATTACTTAAATAAAGAACAAATACAACACAACTGTTACCTTTCTCAAAAACAAAGAAAAAAAGAAGAAACAAAAACAAAAAGAGAAACAAAAACAAATGTCTATACCTAGTCTTGCAGCATCCTCATAAAATGTCTATGTCTATACCTAGTCTTGCAGCATCCTCATAAAATGTCTATGTTAAAGGACTGAATTTGCTCTTTCGAGACTCGAATAGGAGTAATACGTCTTGGTTTGCAAAAGAATTATACAAGTTTTCAAATGTTGGAAGAAATTGAGAAAAGAGGACTTGTAGTTTGGCATGTGTCCAAATAGTATGCATCTGAGTCTGTCGCGTCTGCCCTCCATTTGGTTGTAAGCTGGCTCAAGAACCTTCTCCTTTGGATTTCCTTGTTTCAGACTTGAGGATCAATTGGTTGCGCTGTCTATAATTGGGCAACAATGATCCATGGTTCCTACCTCCACCACTGACTTCTGAGTAGTCTTCAAAGTTACTAATGGTGCCTCATCTCTTTAACTTGTATGAATATTTACTAATGAGATACTGAGAATGTGTAGCATGGATATATTCTTTTTTCTGTTGAAGCAATATATAGGTTAGACGTAGGTTGGTTTTTTGTGCTACAATTTAGTACTAGATTCCAAGGATTTATATTTTAAGTTTGCTTATGTCGAAACTTGATTGCCACTAAAATCAAATTGAACCATTTTGGAATAACTACTGTACCAAAATTTAAGGAATAATTCTGAATAGACTTTAATTCCTGCCAAAGCAGGGGTTAGTATTGTACATGGTAACTGTACTATTTTGGCTGTTGTTCGACTGCAGTTTATCCACTTCTTTTTGCAATATCTGGCGTCATGTTTGCGGCTGGCCTGACATTATTGTTCAAACTGCCAGGTTTTGGATGGTCAGATGCTGAAGATTTGGACAGATCGTGCAACAGAAATTGCCCAGCATGGCTGGTTTTGGGACTATGAGCTTTTAAACCTTACCATTGACAGCGTGACTGTCTCAGTTGATGGCCGGCGTGCTATTGTGGAAGCTACTCTTGAAGAATCGGCAAGCTTAACTGATATGGCCCACCCGGAGCACAATGACTCATACAGTACTACCTATACAACTAGGTATGAGATGTCCTGGGCAAATTCTGGTTGGAAAATTGTGGAAGGAGCCGTTCTTAAATCACGATAACGGATGTATATTTAGACAAAATTACGTGTAAAGTGCATTATTTTTGTTTATTTTGCTTTACTCTCAAAAGTCCGGTAAATGGTTAGTGTTGGCCAATTATAATGTATCTTGTTTGGATCATAGAATTGCTGAGTGTAGTCAGGAAAATGACCAGGATTTATGTGAGATAAATGTTATACTTCCCAAGGGCTGACCTCTTTTTTAAGAAGCAGAGGCGTACGTCTTTTATTCATCATGGGGTGTGTGTAAGCTCCAATTTACTGGACTTAAGCCTAACGAGTATTTATATTTTAATATCTTTAAATGTAAAAATATTTCTTAAGATGTTACAGAATCACATATAATATCATTTAGTAAATTTTAGTCAAATATTTAAAAGGTAACCTGATATACATATTGGCTGGAGCTATCTGCTCTAAGAGGCTCTCTTTACCAAAAAGAACAGATAAGGAGAAGAGAAAAGAAGGTTACGTGGGTTTATATTCCAACCAAAACAAAAAACTGCAGATAAGATGTCTTTTGAAGACAATTCTCCTATACTGTCCCAATGATTTTGAGTTCCTTATTTTACATATAAGCTGCAATATATATCTTCCACTTATATCTACATACAAGGATGACTGTCTGAACTTGAGATCTCGAGGTTGTGGATTGAATTTACATAATGTACATTAATAAAGCTCGATAACGAGTAGGGGGAGGGTTAATTAAGTATACAGATGGGACACCTTTTGTGTATATTTAGATACTACAGAGAGGTTAAACTTCTAAAATGTACATGAATTGAGGGGTCAATTCATCTTGAAGCTACTACAATGCTTCAAATAATCCTTAAAATCTTTGCTTTTGATCACATAGGCTTTCTTGGTTTCCAGCTGAAAGACCTGAGATTTTTTGGCCCTGGTGAGAAGTTAAGTTCAAACATCTCTTTTGGAACTTCGTTCTGTGCTTCGAATCCAACTAATTTTGAGATAAGTGCTGCACTCTCTGTAATGTGATCCATGTCTTTGGTATCTTTCCATAACTTATGGCACAGTTGGAGTCTTCTCTTTTTAGTTTTTAGATCAATGCCCCATTTTTGATATAAGCTGTCTCTCTCCTTTGAGTGAAACTTCTTAAGAAGCAGCTTGCTCAGCATCTCCCTCTCGCGATTCAAAGCACTTAAACTGTTCAAAGGATAAGAATACATTTGCATCAATTTTTATCACTTTCAGATAGAAGAAGTTTTACATGGTTGTTAAATTAAAGGGAAAACGTCCAAATTTACCCTTCTACTATACGAAATATCTGAATTTTACTCTCCGTTATACTTTAGGGTCATTCATATCCTTGCGGTTACCAAATTGTCTCGTATTTGCCCTTGACTTTAACGGAACTCTAGCGTGGACTAAATGGACTCCACGTGTCAAGTACTTGGGGAGAAAGGTCCAAATTTACCTCTCTACTTCTGACGTGGTTTAAAATTACACTCCGTTATACTTCAGGTTGGATCTCCATTTTCTTCAAGGGCAAATACGAGACGATTTGCTAATGGAAGGGTATGAATGACCCTAAAGTATAATGGAGAGTAAAATTAAGATATTTCGAATAGTAAAAGGGTATTTTTGACCGTTTTCCCTATGTTAAATGAGTGATATACTACAGCTTGTCTTGTCTCCTTGCTTGTGAAATTGGAACAAGAACTCAAGACACAGCAGCCCATGCAAGAAATCTCCAAAAACTGCAGGAAATAAAAAGGTATAATGAGTACCTTGCTGCCTGTGAGAAAATTTGACCATCTTTCACAACTTTAGCTCCTAAAGAGAATGCATTCTTCAAATAGGAAAGTCTTCTTAGCTCCACCTCCATGTAAACTGAGTCAGTTGGATCTCCTTTGAAGAGTAGGAAAAAGTATGTTCTGTGAACTAGGGGCACATTGCATGCATCCCATAGTTCTATTATCTCTTGCCTTTGTTTTTCAAATTCCGTCGATTGTCTGGAAGGAGATAACTCCGATTCGTTTTCTGAATTCACGGAATCACCTATAAAGTTTCCCAACTCTTTGGAGATTGGCTCATTATCCTGGACCTAGCAAGAGAAAATAAATTCTATAGTAAGTGAAGAATGCCAAAGTTGATGTTGAAATAATTAAGTGCAGACATGGACTTTGACCGTCTTAAACTTGTTTCTTATGGTCTCTAACACATTTATCAAAATATGTATTGATCATGAAAACTACGCCTGTGTGAGCTTGCTCACATTGCCGGTTCCAAGCGCGGATAAAGGAGAAGGGTTGCGGTAGGCTGATAGCCAGTGTAAAACTTGCCAATTCATGATGAATACTTATAATATTATTACTATCATTTATATGTATATATTTATCTTATTTTTCAGGTTCACTTTTATTACATTTTGGTAATGTTCATGATATGAGTTGAGCTTAATGAAAAAAGTGAGGATTCATATCGCCGACCCGACTTGTTTGGGACTGAGGCGTAGTAGTTGTTGTTGTAAGTATGTATTGATCAAGAATTACATCAGAAGAAGTTTTAAGGCTTTTTGTTCTAAGGGGGATGTGTAATTCTAGATATTAAGCTCAAACAGCAAGTTAGATACTCACCAAATTATCATCTGATTGCTTCTCAGGCACAGATTTGGCAACCTCAGCCTCAGTACAAATTTTTTCACTATCTTCACCTGACTTTTTGAGTTCCTCAGCAGAAATATTCTCACTATCATCACCTTTCATTTTGAGCTTTACTTCAATCGTAAAACAATGGTTTTGTTCTTTTGATAACACCTTAACACTATCAGCAGCAACCTCCGGCTGAGAAGGCTTCTCCTCAAGATCATTCTTTATTGTACATAACTCTTTCTCAGACTCGCTTAATATACCCCCATTTTCTTTTGCTATTTCAGACCCTTTTACTACTGGAACGTTAACGATTATTGCTTCACTGCTTCTGCTCCTAGGTAAGTTATTTGAGTCAGAAGAATCTGTGTCGGAAGAAGAAGATTGTTCACCGGCTAGATTGTGGTCTATGTCAATGGAACCTGATTCCTGATCTCCCTTTCGAGGTGATGAATGTTTATCAGAGCTTGTATTGTTCGCGTTAGAATCCACTTCAACACATTGAACTTCCTTGCAGTTATCTTCCAAATTTGGAACAGTTCTTTGAGCAATGTTTTCCCATCCTTTACATGGATCTGGTCCAAAATACTTCTCAATAAACAGCCTCGGTGAGGTGTCATCGCAGAGAAACTGATCTTCTGGAGGGTCAGGAATCTGTTCGCTTAGCTTGTTAGAATTATTAAGGCCTTCGTATCCGTCAGGACGAAAAGGATATACACATTCCGATACTTCTGATGCTGCATAGTCATCCATCCACTGGACTTTATCCGGAGATGACACACTACTCAGTTCAGTCTACAGGAGAGAGAAAACGATTAAGTTCCTTTTGATGTATTAGTATGTATTGAATAGTTTATGACCTTATTTCAAGACTAACTACATACCCATGACCCTGAACTTGTCATATTGTTAACACGAGATTGAGCAAGATCGCGCTGCTCGGTTAACTCCCTTATTTCTCTGCTCATCTGCATCACCGTTCAAATAGGGACTAGGTTATAGATGCCTTGTCTTGAATTAAAGACGTTATACGTAGTTCGAAGTTCAAGCAATTGAAGTTAGATAACTGTTTACTACCTTTTCTATCAGAGCTTCCTTTTCTTTCAGTGCGTCTGCAGATCCACCTGAGGCAGCAAGCGCCGATAAATTCCTCAGCTCAGCCTCCAATCTAGCTAGTTCTTTTCGTAATTGTTTCACTAGTGCCTTCTCTGACATTACTACATTGACTTTAGCATTAGTAATGACATTCTTGGCACAAGTTGCAAACAGTAAAGTGTTCCTCGATTGCTCAACGTGGCTATGTGCAGGACTCATGGTGCAAATGATGGCAGTTCTGGCATTGCCTCCCAAGGAATTCTGTAGTATACGTGTCAGCTTCGAGTCTCTGAAAGGTATGTGTCCATTTCCTTTTTTGCTGATCCAAATGTAAGACTAAGTTAATGAACAGAAAATTTATCTGAAGCTGTAACTAGGAAACTGTAGTTATGTGTCAACCTTAATTTTCGAATAACAGTTCCAAGAGTTAGCAAACTGCGATTGATGTGGCTGCCTTCTTTCAATCTGACATTTGCCGATAAGGTTTGAGAAGCACGCTCACTTCCAGCAAGATCAACAAAATTCTACAGGAAAGAAAAACAAAAGTATTGTCCGTCGCTCATTTTAATAGGAACTAATGTCAGAGATAATTTTCCTTACCACAGCAGCAGTCAGAGTACTTGAATTTTGAAAGCCAACAAATTTCTTAGCGGTACTTTCAACTGTCTGCAATAAGATCATTTGTTTGGCCAAGTCAAGAAAATAATGTATCTCCTTATGTTATGATACATAAGCAATCTTGTAACTGTTATACTCACATAACGCAGAATCTGGTGAGATCTTGAGCTCATTTCATTTAGAGCAGTTTCTCCTATTTTCCTTTGAGCTACAAGAATGGTGAAATTTAAGTTATATTATATGCAATCTTTTTGCAGGAACATTACCAATATAGCAGTCTCAGCCCTTTTACCTTCACATACCGACAACAGTTCCTTTAGATGGTTCCAGTCCTTCAATGTTACCTCTGTAAGTTTTTCAACTACAGTCCCTCTCTGTGCAAAAAGAAAGAGTACAATTACTTGCATAATATCGCCTCGTCTGTGAATAAAACAAAACTTAATCATATGCTTAAAACGTATATTCATTTACCTCTGGATCATCGAGGAGTCTAAGTGGAGTATCATCTGGGGTTAGAAGGTCTCTAACAACTTCATTGTATATCTCCATTGCAGAGAATTTAAGTGTAAATTCTCGGTCATCATTCTGAAAAAAAAAAAAAAAAATTGGAAAATAAAAATGCACCTTAAAGCATTAGACATTCCGAATGACATACATAGTTTGTAAATGAATTACATAGGAGCATAGGAAACTTTACACACCTTGCTTATATGATCATATATATCAGCTAATGTGTATTCAGTGATCCCAGACATAGTATATGTTTTTCCACTACTTGTCTGCCCATACGCGAAAATACTTGCTGCAACGACATTTTACTAAGTATTGCTGCAACGACATGACTTAGGGTAGAAAATGGACAGTGAACAAGGATTAGTACTTACAATTAAAACCACTAAGTACTGATAGAGCAACTCCTTTGGCTGCCTCCTCATACACTTGCCTTGTGGAGCATTCTGAACTAAATACTCTGTCTGTTCCATCGCATATACCGATTTTAAGGAGGAAAACATATGAAGAATAGCACCAGAAGAAACTATTGCGAAAAAATGCATGATTGACACAATGACACTGGTTTAAGATGCTTTACTTAGTGTTAAAAACTTGAAAATTTTCAAGAAAGAGCTCAAAAAGAATATTTCTTAGAAAATCACATAGCTAACTTCTTTTCCTGGTGCTAGAGGATTCAATAAAATTTAGAGAAATGTATATTTTTAGCTGCTTCTTAAAACAATAGCCGATAAAACGTGTATTTTTTGTATATATGTGTACTATATACATATAATATATATATATATATATATATATATATATATATATATATATATATATATATATATATATATATATATATTATATATTAGTATATATATATATATATATTATATACACTTTTTGGCTAGCGAATGAAATTAGTTTTGGCGGACGGGCAAAATTTTGCCCTAATTTATTCATGCTATTGCTACAATGAAATTGAGTAAAATCTTGATTACTTGCCACCCTTTTTCGTGCATATAGGAAATAATCTTTTCGATTCAAAAATATTTAAAAAGATGACAACAACAACAACAACAACAGACCCAATGAAGTCCCACAAGTGAGGTTTGGGGAGGTTAGTGTGTACGCAGACGTTACTGGGAGGGTAGAGAGGCTGTTTTGCGATCAACCCTCGACTCAAGAAAGATGGCAAGAAAAAAACTTACCATACGCACAAGCAGTTGGAAACAATGAACGTTCAGATAGAGCATTTTTATACAGAATTGTGGTGTTATTGATGCATTCCCAATCCGAGACATCGTTATTCGCAATTTCCCTCTCATTTAAAGGCCTTAATCTAACAGCAACAAAGATCTTCTCTTCATGTGCACCTGATCCTTGATCATCACCATATTGAGATGCCTCTTCCCCATATACTGAGCTCATTTTTCAATGCACTTGAAGAGGAACAGCAAACAGATTATATCAATGAATTCATATGGTCCCTCTCTTTATGTTTAAAAGAGAGGAACTTAACTGTCTTATAAACACCTCCTACCCTCTTTATATGCTTAATTTGATCGAAAACCTCGTTATCTTCTTATCTGTCAAAATTCAAGGAAACAAAACTTCAGCAAAAAAAGCATCTAAAAATGAGTACTTTAGCTCATAAATATCCAATTCTTGAGAGCAAAGCGCAACCCGGTGCACTAAGCTCCCGCTATGCGCGGGTCCGGGTAAGGGCCGGACCACAGGGTCTATTGCATGTAGCCTTACCCTGCATTTCTGCAGGAGGCTGTCTCTGCGGCTCAAATCTATGACCTCCTAGTTAACAACTTTAACAGTTACGCCAAGTCTCCACTTCAATTCTTGAGAGCATTATGTCAAAAAACTTAACCCCACAAACTTATTTTTATTTTATTCAAGAATTATTATCACCCTGCTCACCTTTGTGTATCAATGGTATTTGAAATTTGGTTTGGTAAAACCAAAGAACAGCTTCTAAAATTTGTATGGTAATACAAGAAAAGAAGAAAAATGAGATGCTAATGGGATGATATTTTGGGAAAGAGGAGATAATATTTGCGGTTGTAAAGAAAAATGGGGTGAGCTAAAAACACGGTAAAAGCTCGTAATTTGAGAGATTTATGGTGGTGGAGAAATGCAATAATTTTAGAAGAGAAATTTTCTGCAACGCTAACTGTTTTACTATCTCGAGAAAAAAGCGGTTTGTACGGAACTTTGAAATAAAACAGTTACCGCTAATTCCAACTACCAACTGTTATTTGTAAGGAATTAAATTTTCACCGTTAGTAAGGAGAAACTTCCATTTTTACCCATTTGCCTTTGATCCTTTATTTTTTCATTTTTACCCTCTCACTCTTGTTTATTCCTAAATGGGTCGCTTGGTTGGAAACAAGTTATTACCTAATTAATTATTCCGAAGACTGTTATCTTATACTATAATCTCTAGAAAATTAATTTTGAGATTAGTTATACTGCGATTCATCCCAATCAAATGTGGGATAAACTCATATCAAATTTAATCCCGAGATCAATTATTCCTTATCCCTCGTACCAAATGATTCCAAAGAAAACAATAGTATTTGCTTTTTTGTTTGAGAGTGTAACTTATACACAGTTATTTCTAGGAACATGGTTTATTAAACAGTCCTTATCTAGAAAAATGCATTTATTTTAACAATTGCCTTATTTTCTTTAGGACAATAAAATAAAACTCCGTTCGTTTTCATGGATATTCAATAAACATGCACCTATTCATTCTTAATTCCAACTTACATATCCGCTTTTCCTTTTAGCACATATGCGAGACAATCCTTATCTGAACATGCCATAGACTGAACTTACATTTAGTCCACTGTTCACCTCTCTATAATGACGTCGTTTGGTATATTATCGTTGCTATAGCATAATGTTATTATAGAGTATATATATAGTATTACAAAACATGAAAATTTAGTTCCAACAATAACTTAGCCGCTATAATGAAATATTATTATAGAGCTGAATGTCTGATTGTATATTGACAGTGTAAATAGGTCATTTTAGCTCTTCTCTATGATTGTGTAAGAAAAATTATACGATTACCGTATATTAGTTAAACTTTTTTATTTGGATCATCAAAAGGTAAAGGTGAAAATATACATAAAAATAGTGCATAACTTTAGTGGCACGGTTTACAAATTTCAAGTAAAATCTATGTCATATCATGTCCTTTAACTTTCTACAAACGAAGATGATAATATGCTTTTGTAACTTTTTCTTTTATTTTATTTTTCTTTAAATTTTGTTTTCCTAGTTAGCCTTTATAAAAATTCAATTGTAATGAAATAAAATTTATTATATAATTGTATTAAAATGAACCTTAGTTACATAAAACTTTAAATTGTTAACCTCCTAAATTAGAAAAAAAACTAATATGCACTAAAATGATTAAAGAATATATATACGGGTGAAATCAAGCTCACAAGCTCAAGGTGGACCTGACCTCCACCAAGATAAGCCAGGCTCGAGACATGATGACAAGAGGTCAACATCGAGGGGAAAATTTCATCAAGTCGGAATCCGGGGTCATGACGTCAGCCCCGAGAATGTCGGGGTCAGAATTTCGGATAGATCTTGACCTTGAACGACCTCGAGGAACATTATCGGACAGTCAAGCATAGCCAACGAAAGGCCGAAATATTTGTGACCGGCCGGATATCACGGCGGGATCTCGACACGTATCGATAAGGAGCCGACAATCAGTTAACAAAAGATTTTTTTACTTTTTATAGACTTATACCTAAAGTGGGACTCCCCTACTATATAAAGGGGGCATGATGTTTCTTAACACACATTGTAACATGCGTTCCAAGGCACTATATTATCATTTTCTCTAGTATTTAGCTTTTTCACTTGTTCATCAGTGTTGATTATACCAAGCCCGGATCGAGGGTGAATAATTTCGCTAAGGCTGAAACTGTCTTATTCGCGTGGTTTGAATTCATTTTATTTTTACTTTTTCAATCTAATATAATTTGTATCTTTGTGTCAAATTAATCCGTGTATCCTTAAAATTACTTACAAATTCAATTGTCATCCGATTTTGAGCTTAAAAGTTTGGCACCGACCGTGGAGCTGAGGATAATAGTGGTTATTTGATACAAACCTCTATAAGACACCCTATTTTACACTTATTCTTTGGAGTATCTTTGATTTCAGGTTAAAATATTGAAATCTCGAACTCTCGGGCTGCCCCTCTAAACGTGAATGCTGAATCCGGCCAGCATGGCGAGAATGACAATGTAGCACCCGGTAATGAGGTACCCCCCCCCCCCCATCGACAACAACGGAGTTCCAGTTGCAGACCCAATCGACGCTAGCTCGTATGTGGCCATAAATGCAAATTTACCTACTGATCTTGAGAACAGCATCCACAGAGAAGTCTAATCGATTGCACAAAATACACACGGCGGCTAAGATGATGGGATCAACTTGGAGGTAATCTTCGAAATGTTACAGGCTCAACATGCAGCAATAGCCCAACTCCAGAATCAAAGCCGCGCCCTGAGCAGGATTGAGCTCGAGGCATCCTGGGAAGTCACTGACAGAGATGAACCGATCATGGAGAGACCAAATAAAAGTGAATCCGGGATCAACCCCGAGATCATAAAAATGCTCAAGGAGCTGACAAAACGGGTACAATCGGGAGAGAAGAAAATCGAAGCCAATGCAAAAAGTAGAAACCTACAATTCCAAGGTCGATCAAATACCAGGAGCACCGCCGATATTAAAAGGCATGGATTCCAAGAAGTTTGTTCAAAAATCTTTCCCTCCGAGCGCAGATCCGAAGCCTATCCCTAAGAAGTTCCTCATGCCCGAGATTCCTAAGTACAACAGAACAACAAACCCAGACGAGCATATGACCTCTTACACATGCGCCATCAAAGGGAATGACTTGGAAGATGACGAGATCGAGTCTTCCCTGCTGAAAAAGTTCGGGGAGACTCTGTCAAAGGGAGATATGATATGGTATCACAAACTACCTCCTAATTCTATTGACTCGTTTGCTATGCTTGCAGATTCCTTCGTGAAAGCACACACCAGGGCTAACAAGGTCAAAAACAGGAAGTTAGACCTTTTCAAAGTAGAACAGAGGGACAATGAGATGCTCGAAGAATATGTGTCCCGGTTTCAAATGGAGCGAATGGACTTGCCTCTGGTCGCGGACGATTGGGCCGTTCAAGCCTTCACCCAGGGACTAATTGTTCGAAGCTCGTTGGCTTCACATTAATTGAAATAAAATCTGATAGAATATCCAGCTGTTACTTGGGCCAATGTACCTAACCAGTACCAATCAAAAATCAGGGTTGAAGATGATCAACTTGGGGCCCCTTTCGGGTCCGTTTATCCCATCCGAGCCGTCGATAGAGTTAAGAAAGACATCGATCATGAACCAAGATCGAGCAGGGATCGTTATCAACTATACAACGGGGACCGAAGAGGTAACGTATCTAGGCAAAACCCAGTGAGGAATGAAAGGAAGAGTGATCAAGGTCGGAACAACCAGGGACTCATGAGCAAAAATAGTTTTGACAGGCCCATCGGGCCTAAGGAAGCACCAAGGCTTTCATAATACAACTTTAACGCCGTCCGAGCCGCCGTCATCGTATCCGCCATCGGACGCATCAAAGACACCAAATAGCCTCGACCTCTACAGTCTGATCCAGCCCAAAGGGATCCTAACCTAATGTAAAAATATCATGGCACCCACGGCCACGGAATAGAGGATTTTCGCCAATTAAGGGAGGAAGTAGCTCAGCTATTCAACGACGGGCATCTCCGAGAGTTCCTAAGCGAACGAGCTAAGAATCAATTCAGGAATAGAGATGCTAATAAACAGGTTGAGCAGGAAGAACCTCAGCACATCATTAACATGATCATCGGTGTGGTCGACATTCCCAGGGGCCGACGTTAAAGAGCACCAAAGTATCTATCACAAGGGAAAACGGACTCGGGATTATGTGCCCAAAGGAACCTTGTCACTCGATGACGAAGACGTAGAAGGGATCGTGCAGCCCCACAACGATGCACTGTTATTATCTGTACTCATAAATAAATCTCGAGTTAAGCATGTGTTAATTGATCTAAGTAGCTCGGCCAACATCATCAGATCGAGGGTCGTGGAACAACTCGATCTAAAAGATCAAATTATGCCTGCAGTCCGTGTTCTAAACGGATTCAACATGGCATGTGAAACTACCAAAAGGGAGATAACATTACCGGTGAACACCATCGGGACCATCCAGGAAGCAAAGTTCTATGTAATCAAAAGTTATATGAGGTACAACGTTCTGTTCGAGAGGCCACGGATCCACAACATAAGGGCAATATCCTCGACTCTGCATCAAGTGTTAAAATTCCCAACGCCGGGGATTAAAACAATCTACGAAGAACAACCAGCCATAAAGGAAATGTTTGCGGTCGAAGAGGTGATCCCGATATCCGCACTTACAACGACAAAAAGTCCGGGTTCGGTCGCCAAGGAAGAAACCAAATAGAAATTACCAACACCATCCTCGATACAACCCGAGAAGAAGGGGACCGATGAAGACGACGACTACGGGGTCCACAGGTCCTTCACAATCCTCGATGATTCCGACGCCATCAAGTCAACGATCGAGGAACTGGAGCAAGTCGTATTGATCGAGCATTTTGAGCGATCGTAAAGTGTACCTGGACAAGGGGTTAAGTCCCGAGCTCAAGAAAAAACTCATTCAATTCCTTATAGTTAACGTGGATTGTTTCGCTTGGTCCCACCTTGATATGATAGGGATCCCTCAGGAAATAACCACTCGCAAGCTGAGCCTAGACTCGAAGTTTCATCCAATCAAACAGAAAAGGAGACCTCAGTCCGAAGTCAAACATGCATTCATCAAAGACGAGGTATCTAAACTCCTTAAAATAGGGTCGATTCGGGAGATTAAATACCCTGATTGGTTAGCTAACATAGTGTTAGTCCCTAAAAAAGGGAATAAATTAAGAATGTGTGTAGACTATAAAGATTTGAATAAGGCATGCCCTAAGGA